CACGGTGTTGTGGAGGTTAGGTTTCGGTCAGAAGCCGCTGTGGCAGCAGAAACTCGCACAGGCCGCAAAACTTGGCATTACGGACATGCCGACTGGGAGGGGCTCAGAGACTTCTTCTCTAGCTTTCCTTGGAGAGATGTCTGTTTCACTGACGCGGATGCGTCGACTGTCTGTTCTTCAATAAACCGAAATTATCCACGTCGGAATGGAGGAATACATCCCTCACACAGTGAAAGTTCCTAAACCAGGGCCCAACGGCTGGTTCAACAATCGTGTGAACACTGCTCGCCAGCAGAAGATCAAGGCCCACAGAACCTACTTACAAAACCCCACTGTAGAGAACAGACAAGCCGACGTCGCCTCCAGAAAACAAATATAACGAAGCGGTACGCAATGCCAAAAACCAGCATGATATAAAAGTTAGGCACAGGGTAATGTCGCAGCGCAATGGCAGTCGGTCTTTCTGGACGCTGGCCAAGCAGATTGAAAAGAACTTCTCACACAGTAGCCTTCACCACTTACGTGTCAGGATGGAACTATTGTATTCGACTCAAAGGCCAAGGCGGAAGTGCTAGCCAAGATCTTTGCTGCCAACTCCACCATGGACGTCCCCACCAACGCCCAAGTGCCGTCAATTCAAAGGGTTCCCCACACTATGCGGGAGGTAACATTCAGGCATAAGACCGTAAGACGAGTGCTCTTGTCGCTCGACATCAACAAAGCTTCTGGTCCGGACTTGATTCCTGCCATTGTACTGAAGAGATGTGCAGCGGAGCTTGCTCCAGTTCTCTCGCGTCTCTTCCAGATATCTTATGAATCCGGCACCTTCCCTGAAAACTGGAAATTTGCTCATGTACAGCCCATCCCAAAAAAGGATCTAAAACCGACCCTTACAACTACAGGCCTATAGCTCTGCTTTCTGTTATAAGTAAAGTGATGGAGAGGTGCATAAATCGCGAGCTTCTAGACTACCTTGAACGTCACAGCTTGATTAGCGACAGGCAGTACGGTTTCCGGCACCAACGATCCACAGGGGACCTCCTAGCTTACGTCACGCAGCTGTGGAGTAGACTCATCCAGTCTCATGGTGAGGCTCATGTCGTTGCTCTTGACATCACGAAAGCGTTCGATCAGCTGTGGCACGCTGCCCTCTTAAGCAAACTTCCATCCCACGGCCTCCCAGAAAAGCTTTGCAGATGGGTGGCTGACTTTATCTCTGGCCGCAAGATATCCGTCGTAATTGACGGATTCTCCTCTTCATCCCACAACGTCAACGCGGGTCCCCAGGGATCGGTCTTGGCTCCAACACTGTTTCTCTTACATATCAACGACCTCCTTTCCTGCACGATCAACCCAATCCACAGCTTCGCTGATGACAGCATTCTACATGCAGGAATTCAGAGTGACAAGCCGATGTCTGCCGCTGAGCTGGAAAAAAGAAGACTAGCGACGACTTCTTCTCTGACAAGAGACCTGGAAGCTATCACTGCTTGGGGACGCAACAATCTTGTACAGTTCAATGCTTCCAAGACACAGTACTGTACTTTGACGAACAAAAAGCGTCCTAGCGCTCATACAGTTTCGATGGACGGTCGAGTTCTACCAAAGAGCCATTCATTTCGGCTGGTCGGAGTCCAGATCACCGAGGAACTGATCTGGCACGAACACATCTCTTCAATAGCTGCAGCTGCTGGGAAAAAGCTAGGCTATTTGTTTAGGGCTAAGAAGTACTTTTCTCCGCATGACCTTCTCACTCTATACAAGGCCCAGATAAGGCCTAGCCTCGAGTATTGCTCACACATTTGGGGTGCTGCCGCCCCGACTACATTGTCCATGCTCGATGCTGTCCAGAGGAGGGCGGTCCGACTGATCGATGACTCTTCTCTAACAGACAGTCTCGGGACTCTTTCGCACCGGCGGCCGTCGGCGATCTAGCTCTTTTCTATCGCTACACCAACGGGCTTTGCTCCTCAGAGCTCTCTTCCATGATGCCGCCGCGCGATGTGCCTGCCAGACAGACCCGCCTGACTTCGGCGTCCCATCCTAACCGTGTCAAACTTCGTACATCCAGAACTGGCCGATACGACCGCTCCTTTGTTCCGAGGGTGTCTAGATTGTGGAACAATCTACGGGAGGAAGCTTTTCCCAGTTCTACTAACCTTAGGCAGTTCAAAAATCGTATTAACAAAATTTCTTTGGGATCATCATAGCAGCCGCGGTGTTCCGGCATTTAGGCTTTGACCTGCGCGGCTGTTTCGATATAAAAAAAAAAAAAAAAATAGAAAGCAAAAGTTAAAATACCCCCTACACTTCTATTACTGTCCACCTTTCAAATACGAACTGTTATTATGCCGATTTTCCATTCATGTGTAGAGCGCTATTAGTTCGCTCAATTAATTTTTCTGCTACAATTCCGTCGGCAATAAATGCCGATCAGTGCAGAAAAAGTGAAAAGACGCATCGCAGCACGCAAAGACACACACGATCCGTCTAACCGTTAATCAGAAATTGATTCTCGTTAAGGACGGCATGCATGAGGCATCCATATTCAACAGAATGCCAACAAGGCGTGAGAGAACTCGACGATGCATCACGATGCATGATGCTACGTTGCCACAGCACAACAAACTTCCACAGTCGAGTAAGTTCTGGCACACACAAGTCCGCAATTCGCAATGTACATAAAATCAAAACATCCACTTTAGCAGGCAACTAAAGCACAATTCTGTAGCAACTGGAAGGCTTATTTCAAAAACCACATAGGATATACGGGGTGTCCGCAAAGTTGGGGTTTTCCTTTACACGACGTGTAGATCTTGAAAACATAAGCAATTTTTCTTAGTACCATATACACCAATGTCTTAAGGGAACCGAGATAAAGGGCTCTGCAACATCAAAAATATCTGAATACCGTCCTGTAGCCGCGACATCACCGACTGGTACAAGATCACTAGCTCAACCCGACGACAGAACTGGGTCGGGGTCAGTGTGTCAGGTCAGTATGCAACCTTCAACCGACGGTTACGGTCACGCGTGTAGAGGTAATCGCGTAGACGAGAATCCCTCAACAAGCACTAGAGACGTGGCTAGAGAAGTGCAAGTATCAAAAACTAAAGTATGGTAAACGCTGCGTGAAGAGGGGCTGTAACCGTTTCACGTTCAAATGTACAAGCCCTTCAACCTGACGATTTTCCAGCAAGAGTGCGGTTTTGTGAGTGGTTGTTGCATCAACATGACAATAATCCGGACGTTTTGAAGTGCATATTGGTGACAGACGAATCTACGTTCACGCGTAATGGGGTGAATAACTTTCGCAACACTCATGTTTGGGCAGTAGAAAATCCGTACGCTGTCCGTCGGGCACATTTTCAACAAACATTTTCGGTGAATGTTTGGGCTGGCGTGGTGAACGGTATGCTCATTGGACCATTTATTTTCCCAAATCGATTAGACGGGATGCAATACCTAGACTTTTCACGCAACATTTTGCCTTCCTTGTTAGAAGATGTGCCATTAAGTGTAAGACAATCAATGTGGTTTCTGTGTCTGCTCGGTAGCGCATCAGCTGATTTCATTTTCTGTTGGAGCGGTATGATTTCGGGCAGAGACGTACTTAGCCCTTCTCGTCAACTGGAGAGTGAGTACTTTTTCCTTTATTTTTTTTTTACTTGGTCGCCCTCGTTTCACTACACATTACCTTTGTTATTTCAAGGGTAGTTGTTTCTGAAAAGGAAAACCCCAACTTTGCGGACAGCCTATATTTTTCTCAAAATGCTGTTTTTTATTGGGAGGTAGATACGTACTTTACGCATAATCCGTGTAAGTCAATAACTTCCTATCATTTCACATAATACAAGGAAATACACGTCACGTGACTCAGGTTGTTTTTTTTTTATTTTTATTCGTTATAGGCACCAACATAACTATTTCAATTTAGAAAACTACAAAATAATGCTACAAGCAACTACATTATGCACTGCTTTATTGGCTTTGCTCGAAAGAAAGTATTTAACCCTGTATCTGCCTTTGCGCGACAACTTATTGAAAAAATCTAATATTCACATAGGTTATCAGTTATGACCTATAGATGACATAAGATATTATAAAAGTTGAAAAATAACCTGGGAAATGACTTTATAATTAGTTGCTTGCAAGCAACATTGCGAGATAAAGTATAGGTTCTATTGTTACTTGCAAGCAACATTGACCGATAAAGGTAAAGCTAATTGCACTGGTTTATATGGAAATACAACTATACATTTCAAATCATTTATTTATAAAACGAATAACTAGAAACAAACAAAATATATATTTCTAGTTTCGCAAAATACAATGTGATGGCACAGCTAAATCTAATTGGAATGGGAAAAGTAGAAACAATTCTTATTTGGGGTGAAACAAAGCCTAAGATTGCACTTGGTACAAAAGATTGTTGTAAATCCACTGGCACAGTGCCTGCATTTACCTTTTGTACCATAAGTTGGCCAATGACCTATGCCATCTTTTTGGGTGGTGGTATCAAGTCTCGGCAGTATATACGGTTTGATATTATTTTCACAGGGGTTTTATTAGTCAAGGAAATGGATGGTCTGCCACGAGAACTTTGTTTTCCTGCGTTGGCCAACGATTTGGCTAATTCCATACGGAACTCCTTTAGCGGTTTTGACGTTACACGTGCTGTGTTGCAGTCCTTTCTATACAGAAGCCAGGCGTTGATCACTGACATATCAAGAACCCATGTAAAAATTGGGAAGTACCATCTTTTCGATCCGCTTGGACTGCGATACAGACCTAGTAATGAATTGGCCTTATCGACACCGCTCATGTTCTTATTGCATTGCGTTATAACGGGTGGACAAGGGATGGCAATTTTTTTCTTTTCCACTTTCGAATATCTTTTTATCGATTTTACGGGATTTAGGCCACAGAATGTACTTGCTAATAGAACACATTTATTGTCAGCCCATTTTACTACTATTATACCTTTGTCTGTATCTGCTTTATAAACATAGGAACCTCTTCCCCGTTTTTTGAAGCACTTTATCGGTTTCAAGTTGACATCCAGCTATTCTGTTAGACCTTATAGTTCCTAAACGAAGTATCCCGAATCGGTCTTTCAGATAAATAAATAATTTTACACTTGAAAACCAATTTTCACAAAATATAACAGTGTTTTTCGGTTCGCTTAGGGTTTTGCACAGAGAAATGACGGCGCTAGCACCTACACCTAGATTTACTTCATAATCATCCAGCTCATTCGGAGACCATCTAAGCACTTCAAATGTCGCAGCTCCCTGATAGGGTATGAAGTCGGCAATATAACCAGAAACCCCAGCACGAACAAAACCCCATTTGTGGGGTTTATTTTGGATATACTGCCTCAAGTTGCCCGCATATGTGCCTTTGTAAGACACCATTGTTTCATCAATTGAGTATTGATTTTCAAACTACAGTTTATAACAGTTCTTGCGTACAATTTCTAATAAGGCTCTAATTTTGAAATATCGATCCTTTGTCTGGTCTGTTATGTTAGTATTATCACTGAAATGGATAAACCGTCTTATTTTCTGAAACTTCTTCAGAGGCATTATATTGGCCACGTGATCTACTCTTCTACTAGCTGTCCAAAAATCTTCTATGGCAGGAAGTTTTATTACACCCATAATCAAGAGTATAGATAGAAAATCCGTTATTTCTGACGGATTTGTATCAATACATTAGTGAGTACTATAAAGATTTGTCTGATAGACTATTTTATCAATTAGATCAAATGAAAAAACTTTGTAAAATACTCAATGGGAACTGCAATGTTGTCAGGTTCAGGAAAGTCTGGTGAAGGTATGTTAACAGAAACTGTCAGCTTCAATCCAAGAATATGAATCAGTTTTTCGTCTTTGTGGTGGTGGCGGCTCAGTTTCATCGTCACTTAATTCGAATTCAGAATTACTTTATGGAACCAGCATGTCCTGAAGGCACTTCTTCTTCATCGTTAAGCTCATTTGTTTGGGAAATATTTTCTCCGTCACTGAAATCGTCGTCTGAGACATCGGAAATATGCGGATCTGTCGGAATTACGGTCGGTGCCTTCTATTTGCTGAAAAAACATGTAGTGCTTATGGTTGGAAAATTATCCAGATCAGAAGACTGAAAAAGAAAACGTAATTATTCTGGCAATGTTGCTTGAGAGATACATACTAAACAAAGTCATTTTCCTGCCTTATTTTCTGATCTATCGCTTAAAAATAATCATAAACATAAAGACTCAACCTTCTTTTATACCAACCAAGGCTAATAGAACATAAAAACAAATGATTACTTACCATTTGCAACTAAAATCCCAACTACAGATTCATACGTGCACCAAACACCTGTTACGCGGCAACCATATTGAAAATTTTGACTCAACTTTTTATAAACGGACGTCGCTCATAATATTATTTCCGTTAATGAATAATGTAGCTTACGCGCAACACTGCCCAATCAGACCGTTAGAGCAGGGAGGATGAGAAATTGAGGTTTAAAGATGACGTTGCCTACAGGCTACAGCACCAGATATAGAGTTAAACATTTGTTTGCTTCCTGCTGAGACTATTATCTCAATCATTCCCATTTGTTTAACTGAGAAAGTCCTTTGAATATACTCTGAAATCTTTTCATATAAATCACACGTAGGTGGGGTACGTGCAATACCAATTCTCTTGTACGAAAAATATATTTGCTGTCTGCCAAATAAGCATGCGTATTCTTCCACAACCGGTTGCCGATTATCAAAGAAGGTTGAATGAACAAGTCTATGTATTTTTTACGACTCACCAGTAATTTGATTTTGATATTAATTCATGCAGAAGCAAAACTTGTGACATTATATTTAAGTGTAACTTTCTATAACAGGTTATAAAAAATAGGATTAATATGATTATTCTACTTAAGTTGTTATATGTACGGCTAACCCTATTTCTTCTGCAAAAAGGGCCAAACGTGGCCTACTTACCTGTCTTTGGCTCCCCACTACAATCACTATGATATGTCTTTCTATAGCACACACAAGTCCAGAACAATTTTTTGGGCTTTTCCGTTACTACTAATAAACTGTGAAACTTATTCGATATTTCAATTTCCCTATATTAAGCTCAAAAAGCTTCTTCATAACTGATTTATTTGTCCATGGCATTCTCTTTACTGTCTCCTGAATAATTCAAATAGAGCGACTTATGAAATGAGCGACTCAATTAAAAATCTCCCGACGGAAACGACACAGTAAAAGGTCTCAGCAATGCGGATGTCCATAACCAAATTTAGAGCTTTATTGTAATATTTTACAGAATCGTATGCAGCCAATAACCCTGTCTGGTTGACATGGTTTAACTGATAGATTTTGACCTTTTATTATACAGGGTGGCCCATAAGTCCTTTGAGCTGGGAAAAAAGGAATAAAACCAAACTAGTTACATTATGAAGGATTATTATATGTTGTTATCATCTTTAATGGAATGGGAATTATGTTTTAAAAATCACATCGTCTAAATGCAATGCATTACGATCACGGCACTCATATAAACGACGTCTAAAATTGTCGATGACTGCGCGGCAAGTCAACACTGTAATGCTTGCCATTTCTCTTCGGATATTTTCTTTCAGGACATCAACTGATCGCGGAGTGGTGTCGTACACTTTACTCTTGAGGTAGCCCCATAAAAAGAAGTCCATTAGGGTCAAATCTGGACTACGTGGTGGCCAGGAAATGTCTCCTCTTCGAGAAATTAATTTGCTGGGAAAAAGTTGACAGACGACGGGCATAGAAGTGTTGGAGGTGTGGACAGTTGCTCCGTCCTGTTGAAACCAGGTCTGCGTATTATAGCCTGGAAAATTCTGCAACGCTGGTGTCAAAAACTCTTCTATCATTGTTACATACCGCTCTGAAGTAACAGTTAATGCGCGACCTCTGTCGTCCTCAAAAAAATAAGGGCCTACGATGCCATGCGCTGACATAGCAGCCCAAACTGTAACTTTAGGGCTGTGTAAGGGCTTCTGATGCTTACGCCTTGGATTTTTGGGGTTCCAATAACGGCAATTTTGTTTATTTACATGCCCGTTTAAATGGAAGTGAGCCTCGTCCGAGAACAACACATTATTGAGCGAAGAAAATCGATTCAACATTTCATTCGCAAAGTTTAGTCTCTGAATAGCGTCATTATCTTTTAATTCCTGCACTAACTGAATTTTGTAAGCGTGCAGACGTAAATCTTTCCTTAAAATCCGCTGTAAAGATGTTCTGGGTACGTTTAGTGCACTAGAACGCTTACGAGTAGACTGGGTAGGATTTTGACGAACAGACTGTGCCACAATGTTGATGTTTTCTTCAATACGAGTTGTCCTTGGTCGACCCCACCGCTGTTTATCTAACGTCGAACCAGTCTCTTCGAACTTAGCAACCCAGTTCTTAATCGTTTGAGCTGTTGGACACTTTGTAAAATTGTGTAAATTGTGGTATTCTCGATATATACGCCGCGCAATGGTTGTCAAATCATTATTTTGATAAAACGCGCGCACACAAAAAGCACGATCCGCTCCAGTGAAACACTCCATGGCGACTGAATTCCCAGACACTGAAGATACTGCCCCCACCTAGCCCGCGCCGCTCACGCTCACCCGTTAAATTTTATTCAAATTTGAAATTTCAAAGGACCTATGGACCACCCTGTACTAGACCGGTGAGATGATCTGTGGTAATTGATGCATGTAATTGCTGGAATTGATGTGAGGTAAAATGAAAAAATATGGCTTGGTGGTGTTCAGGCCCTAGGGGTGCCTGGGGGTCATATCATGCTTCTGCTTTTCAATTTTACTTTGTCGAATTCAGTACATCAAGAACTATCCAGTGTAACTGCTATTTTCTTCCCGGGGTGTCAACCTGGGGAACAACTTGTTAGAAGAAGTTTTCTCCAATATTACTAAATCTTGAGCTACGTTCTCGTGGGGCAAGAATACGGGTATCGTGGATTTAGTGTATTGCATGAATAAGCTTCCAATTGATAGTTGTGCTCATTTGAGTTCAGATTTTAGTAGTACGAGTACGTTCGCGAAAAGACCGAGAGTCACGAGGGCAGATGGAAAAATAGAAGAAGAAGCCTTACTGGATCAGGAAGTGGATACTTGCATGAAGAAATTTAGCAGAAGCTGAACTAAGAAATGAGCCCTCTGAAGGTTTGAAAGAACTGCTACAAATGTCTGGCGTTCAGTCTGATTTCCTGCTAGATTGCGTCTCACCACACATTCCAAAAGCATTTTACGATCTGCCTGACTTTTGACTGTCTTCAATCGATGAGGATTCCACGAACCAGATCAGCAAAATATTTTTAAATTTTGTGAAGCAGGGCGTTTAGGCTCTGCCCTGGCAGCTGCTTTGCTATGAAAAGGATAGTCAGCTCTTGTACTATGATAAATCACAGCAAATAAAAAATTAGCATTTCACTAACTGCATGCGGTCATTGCAGTAAATGTTTCACAGCATATTATAAAATATATATGAGTATATAAAAACCGAAGAACTATGCTAATAAATCTCAGCCATACTTAAAGTAATGGTATCTATCATAATTTTACGATTATGTAATAACCACTGAGGCAGTTATTTTAAATGGCTAGGTAATGGTGGTTTGATCAAATCTTTCACACTTCATCAATGTGAAGATCGACTTAAAGTGTGTCAGTAATGCCTCTAGCTTTGCTCCTAGCCTCATGAACTCGTCTGCTCATTAATATTTTTGGTGAATTTTAACAAAGCGGATACAACATTTCAGACGGGGGGAAATAAGGTCAATTAAAGGAAACTTCGTCGAAGAAATTTATGATTAGAACACATACATGATGATTTATGAAACGACAGCAATATTTTTCGAGCAGGAATTACATCAAAAGATGCTGCTAGGTAATTTATTTCGAAGATGTAATTCTTTTTCGAATTCTGAATTATAACGTCATCACTCTCTATCTCGAAGCCCCTAAGCTCATTTGAACTTTTCGTATTATTTTTTTAATTAATTTATCCCTTGACACAATGCCATTTTGTTCTGAGTAATCAAACGTTGGAAATAAACTAGAACGTCTGTTAAAGCACTTTTTCACCATCTTTTCTCATTTTGTACAGGTCGGTCGGACATAGAGTTGCGACGTTTGCTTTGCAGTTGGCCGACTTCTTGAACCAACTGTATGCCAAAACGTTTCTGCTTTCCTGTTGATTGTAATGAATTAAGATTTTATTTAATTTCTAAGCTAAGGTTCTACGTTTTCTGTATTTTCAGGTCGCTACCAATTTTTTGCACTATCAAAACACTAATGTTTAGAACTCAATGTTTAGAAAAATCAAGGTTCATTATGTATCTCTTTCACACCTCATCATAGGCGAAAAAATGTACGC